TGGCGACAATTAATTTATTAATTTCAATTATATGATTAAAAGTTCAATATTTTTACTATCGGTATAATTTTTTTTCTGATTTTGTTAAAGAAGTGCATGGAAATAAAAAAAATTAAATGCGTAGCATTATTTTGACTTCAAAAATTAACCTGCAAAGATATGCTTTTTATGGGTGTTTTGGTTATTATTCAATTCAAGATTTTCATAAAAAAATAAAGAGTTTGAATATACCTGTCAGACTTACATTTCCTTTTTCACTAAAAATTCTGATATGTGCATTATATACATTACAGCATTTGATCGCCCCAATATACTACAGAAACAAAAATTTGATTTTGAATAGCTTGTCAGTTACACACAATATATAAATTGCCTTTGTATTACAGAAAAGTACTTGCAAAATTGTACTGAAAATTACAGTTTGTAATTTTGAAATTTATGGTTTTTCCTTTTTTATCCGCGAATTCAAACGTGTGTAACACCGCGATTTGCTGAAAATTGTAAAAATCGCATCTTTTCCGAGCTCTCAGATTTTAACCTGCTATACATATATTTTTTTTTTTTAAAAAATACTTGGTATTACATGTATTAATTCATTCACTGTATCATGAATTCCCATTAACTGTTAAATTCAATCTACAAATGTTTATCATTTAAATTTTATATCAACCAAGTGATAATATTTACAAATACTAAAATTCCCATTTCGCCTTAGTGCTTTTTAACTTTTTCTTACCTGAATTTCACAGTTAAGGCGAAATGGGAACACACCTGTGGTAGTAGGTGTTGGCGTCAGAAAGATCCCTCACTACCCAAAGGCACAATGTGGCTAGTAGAGGACAAAATTGTCAGCCCTAAATATGTTAGCGTCTTATTATGAATAAAAATTTCTCACAGGGACGTCAAACAAAAGTAAACAATCAAAGTATATAATTAGTACACCATAAATTTGATGAAATAGCTATGATCCACATCCTCAATGTTCCATAAACGCATGCGTAAAATGTATGGATAGTATGGATGAAACTGATATTTTTGTACATGAAACATATGAAGATAACGAACAGTTTTCAAGATCAAAAGTCTATAAAACAATACAAAACAGGAGCAGAGCAAACACGAACCTCCAAAACATCAGAGGTGGGATCCGGAGTGAACATCTTCTGCCGACCGGTCACACCCGCCGTCTGCTTTTAATGTACGAAGATGCAAGAGAAATGAAGTCAAAAGGCATACTTGACACTTGAGAGAGTGAAAATGGGTGAAGATTACAAACAGTGTTCGATCTCATAAAAACTACAAACAATACAAATATGTGAACAGGGCTTAAACACGCACCAATAAGAAAAAAGTGTCCAGGAGGAGTCAGTATCCCCTTTTGACTGATCTCACCCAGAGTGATGCCTATGTTTTGTTCATACTGCTCAAGTAAACGAAACATTTTGAAGTCAATACAAAAACAAAAACCTAATAATTGGTCTGAAACAAGCCCAAATACGACCCAGTAATATATTACTTTTGCTAGTATTACTAGTATTATAACAACCTTAGAAATTACGGACTGTTGTCTGTTTACGAGGTTGCTGAAATCCATGCAATATTAAATATTGTATGAGTAACCTGCCTTGGTTTAGAATTGATCGTACATGCCCTTGAATAGCGAATAATAAGATTGGGAGACAACCAAAATGATAAACAAACCTAGGAGGATATCAACAGTCTTGTTTTAAGTTATGAAAAAAATATGGAGATAACAAAAAGTATTCAAGCTCAAAAGTCCATTAAACAATACAATGTAGGAGCAAAGCAAACACGTACGTGTACTTTCAAAACATCAGAGACTGGATCAGGTGCCATGGAGGAGTAAGCATATTCAGTTGACCGGTCACACCCGCCTTTTTTGCTCAATTTCATGATCGGGAAATGACAGAAAAAATCTTAGACAGTTCAGTGCATATATGATGGCTTAACATTTAGTATGAAAAACGTTTGTCAGCATGTGACTAAATGATAAATAAAGTTGTATTTGCTGACAAGGTCATTGTATTGACCACAAAACTAACGAAATGATGACTTTAAACGAGACTGCTGAAATTCTTGTTTCATCACCTTGTTTGCAATAATTAACCTTGTTTTGAAAATTGTACAAACATCGAGCATGTCCTTGAGTATAGAATCAACTGAGAGGTATAAACTTCGTATGCAGGTGATGAAGGTATGTTGCTGCATTAGTAAAGGAAGTTGACGATTGAAAGTTAAAGTCGTCACGGTTATTTTAAAGCTGAGTTGTTAGATTATCTTGTCTTTTTGAAGTAAAATATCCAAATATGAAACAGATGTGTCAGACTCTGGGTTATCTTTCATCTCAAGCTCACTGTGATATATCAATCGACATAAGAATTGAAACAACCATTGTTAATTAATAATACGTCGTCGATATCTAAATATCGAGTTGAAGTTGTGGACTTTTCCTTCATATGAATACAAAAAAAATAGGTCCTCTAATAACTTGGCGCAAATTGGTACCCATTGAAATTCTAATTGATTTTTTTTGAAGACCTGCATGATCTCCAAAAAGCACATAGATATTGTCAATCAGAAATCAAGCATCTTTTTAATGTCTTCTTTAGAGTACTTGTGAGTACAATCTAAACGTTTCTCAACAAAATAATTTTGCAAATGATCAATGACAAGGTAAATAAGTTGACGAGGTCCTTTTTTAATATAAAAAGCAGCTGTCAATGATATCAAATAGCCTGGACTTCGTCGTGTGAAATGGTTGTGTATAAAGATGAAAAGTTGAAAGTTTTTTTAAAAGCTGTTGATTGTGGTAAAATCTTGTGATTTCAAATTTTCCAAAAGTTCCTTGGAATTTTAAAGTATCCACATCTGATTTCTCCAACTTCAATATATTGTTGCACAGTACTCTTGAAATTTTCCTTCACTACTGTTTATTACTTTAAAATACCTTAGTGAGGAGTAAAGAAATAGGTCTGGTTGAACATTTACTGGAACCATCCATGTATCTTTGTACGGATTTTTATGAATTTTTGGAATCCAATATAGATCTGGTAATTCAAATTCATTTTGGTTGTTTAGAATATTAAAAATATTCAAAACTGATATACGATTTTGAAGAATTTCTTCCTTGGAAAGGGCACTATGAGCATAAGTTGGATAATCACTTGTAGAATTAAATCCAAGTTCCTCTAAAATACATTTCATATAATGAACATTACAAACAAAGGCAATTTGTTACCTGCTTTTCATGATATGAAATCTATCTAATTCTGTTTTCACTTCAGGATTATTGAATACAGAAGGATTTATGTTGTTTTTTTTTTTCACATTGCCAATCAATCTTTTTATGTGCGATTGTAACATGCATCTAATCTGATAGACTGGTCCATTCTGATTAGCAGGACTATAGTTATAGGGTGAAGAACATGGATACGATGGAGGATTGTGTTGCAGATATTCGATATATACAGGCCCTGTAAAGTTTTCTTGTAATTAAAAAGTTTGGAATCAATAAACACACTGAATTGTCTATGGATTTTCCTGTTTATCCTGCCTTGACAAAAACACACAGCGGGACGGTATGCCCGGTTGACAGGGGAAGTTTACTCCTCGGTGGCACCTGATTACACCTCTAATGTTTTAGAGGTCCCTATTTGTCCTGATCTTAATGTTATTGCTTTCAGGACTTCGAGTTTGATTTTATTATGTTCGTTATGTCCATATTTCACTCCATATTTTGTTGGGACAAGACATGTCGTCAATATACCGGTATATCTGAATGTCGAATTTATGGAGCTTTTTAAGATGGAAGCCTTGTGGGTCATCGGAGTAACAGGCACAGGAAGATACAACTCATGGGACATCTGGACAGGGAACTTGGGTACGGGAGAAGAGTAAGTCACAGTTTGTGAATGTCACCATCATAACCATGAACAGTACAATGCAACAGAGACTTAATTTCTAACCTAGAGAGGAGAGCTGTGTGATTTAGAAATTGGTTTTGATCACTCCAGTAGGTGCATCTAGATCTGTCGAAGACAATCTAAAAGACCAACCTGGTGACCATATATATAACCTTGAACAATTGTCATGATACAGAACCTCTCCGGAACATATATTTGTGGAGCATGCATGATAAAAGGGTTAATAAAATACTTTATATATTTCGATATGATATCATTTTCCGCTTTTGTTATGATTTAGAGATTGGCCCTATATACGGTATATACCGCTATGAATAGAAATTATTTATTATATCAGATATCGAAATATAAGAATGATAGACCAGGGAATCGTGTATTTTTGATAAGTTTTTTTGTCTAACGAAAATTATCAGAAGCTTGGGGTGGGGGGTGTTTACACCATCCATTCGTCAGGTGCCTGTGGCCAAGAGAGGGAATCTCGAGAATCCCCACCACCATTAAAACGCACAAAAAGTTACCTCTTCTCGACGATTATATTTCTGTATTTTCTTTTCATTCTATAAGATGGATTCAACATAAATTTAAGATGTGTGTCTAAAAAGGTCAATTAAATATGTTTATATCTACCCTGTCTTAAAGCTAATTAATAATTAATATTTTTTCTTTTATCTTTTTCTTATTCATTTATTTATTATTATTTATTATTTTGTTTTGAATGTATATTTATTCATTTATGTATTTTTTATGTATAAACACTGCGAGGGAAACCTTTGCTATAAATAGTTGTTCTATTATTAGAATGGAGAAACGTTATGACACCGAGGTCAAAGAAATATAACGGAAATAACCTTTTGTCGCCATATTTATTGGAATATTATTACGCCAAATAAAGAAAACGTACAATTTACTCTGGTCATTGAATGTCTTTAAAGTAGTAATTTTTACTGCATGCTTAAATAATTTTTAACTCTTTCTGTACATAAAAATGTTCTTTAATGTTACTTGATGACTTTTTTAATTTTATATTTTCTTGAGCGTAGACACAAAAATGGTTGTCATTAGGTCAACCAAAAAAAAAGATGAACGATGAATGTTGATATACAGACTAATGAATTACCTTAAATATTGAAAAATATGGCAGAAATATTTTCACTACCATGCATAATCATATACGTATAGATGCATTCTATCATTTTAGTCAATAACAATCCTCTAAACTTGTTCTGTGGAGACATTTAGACTATCTCGTTATATTCAGCCAGGACGATTTTTTTTCTCAAAAATGAGTGGCCTAAGACAACAACCCAGGAAAGACACAAAGATGAGAATTCGGGCGTTCCCAGTAAGTCTTGTTTAGTCAATATGAAAGTATCAATCCGCTGTTTCATCGGGATAAGTTAGAATTTGAGCGTTAATATGTTTGTAAACATGAAAACGCGCAATTATAATTTTCCCAACTTGGCACTTCTGAGTATTGACATTGTTGAAAGTGCTTTCAGTGAATGTAATTTTAGTTATTTTTCATTCTGAATTTTGAAAATACGAACTGATGTTCATTGTTATTTATTTTCAGATGACTATGGATGAAAAGTATGTGAACAACATATGGGCATTGTTAAAGAATGCAATTCAAGAAATTCAAAAGAAAAACAACAGTGGTTTAAGTTTTGAGGAACTATACAGAAATGCATACACCATGGTGCTTCATAAACATGGAGAGAAACTGTATACTGGCCTAAGAGATGTTGTAACTGAACATTTAGTAACAAAGGTATAAAAAAAAGTATTAAAGGATATTCATGAGACAACAAAGTGAATCAAAGTTGTTCTAGGTTGAAATAAAACTTAAAAAGAATAGATGAAATGAAGTTAGTGGCAAAGTGTAAGCATGTTTATAAAATTTGGGAATTTAAGTCGAAATTGATACCTCCAGATTAATACACTTTAAGACTCCATCATTCAGTCCAGTGGATTGTTTAATCACAACATTAAATGAATAATTCACGAAATCACTGCAAAGAAAAGAAAATTTAAGTAGATCTGAAATTTGCCAGCTGTAAGTGTTTTGCAATGTAATGACTTTGCCATTAAGGAGAAAAATAATATCTAGACTAATGTGTATCCATGGTACCGACATTCACTTAAAATTCCAAGTTCTAATGACAGTATTACTTTGATCATAATTAATATAATTTCTTATCAGGTTAAAGAAGATGTGCTGGCAGCACTCAACAATAATTTCCTGCAGACGTTGAATTCCGCATGGAACGACCACCAAACATCAATGGTCATGATCAGGGATATTCTGATGTATATGGTATGATGTTATCTGTTTTGAGGATAGAAATAAGATAATGATTTTAAAGTCCTATCATATATATACTCTTAATTTCCTAGAACTTGTATGTTTCTAAAAATGTAGTATTCCAACTTTCCAAATAACTAAGCATTAAGAAAATTTCAATGATTTTTTTTTTAAAGGGTTAATCAGGAATTGGTGTGATATTTTTTAGGATCGTGTATATGTACAACAGAACAATGTTGACAACGTTTACAACCTGGGATTAATGATATTCAGGGACCAGGTGGTACGACATCCCACGATCAGGGACCATCTACGCACCACACTGCTGGAAATGGTGGCCAAGGAACGCAGAGGAGAAGTTGTTGATAGGTAGAATAAGCATTATAGTTATGTAAGATGTAGGATGTGGCAAAAAATTAACATGCACCAAGCATGAAAGAATTCATATTGGAATACATGTATGAAAAAAAATACAGATAGTTTTTGAAGAGAAAGTGTTCAAAGTGAAAGTAACTCAGGTACTTGAGCAAATTTTGATAAAAATGATCCTTCCATTCCAACAAGAAAGGACACTGAAAATGAGACAACTAAACAGGCATGTCTTATTCTGAATTCCTAAGATAAAATGAATTGAATTAAAGCAACCTTAGCAGGAATACCCAGGACTTTCCGTAATTTTGAAGTGAAAAGATAAAATTAATTGACATATAATGATCATTAAATGGCAATGAATTGCTTCCTAGCTTTGTCCCTTTGTTGAAAACCCTACAGTGCATAGCTAAACTATCTTTTGAAAAGAATTTGTCCATTTAAAGGAACTCTGTCAGAAAAAGGACGGGTTGAGTTCAAGATGCCCTATGTTAAAAACTTTTTAAAAATATATTTTATCTTTTTGATTAATTTTTATTCACACCTTTTATCTGCAGGGGAGCAGTGAAGAATGCATGCCAGATGTTGATGGTACTTGGTATTGACTCCAGGAATGTGTATGAAGAAGATTTTGAGAGACCATTCCTCGAACAGTCAGCAGAATTTTACAAGGTATTTATACCCCCGCAAACGAAGTTTAGGGGGGTATATTGGAATCACCATGTCCGTCTGTCCGTCTGTCTGTCTGTCCGTCTGTCTGTAGACAAGATTTTGTCCGGACCGTTTCTCAGAAAGTGTTGGATGGATTTGTCTGAAAATTTATACACTTATTATTCACCATATGAAGGTGTGCACCTGGGATTTTCATCATGATTGGATGATTTTTCTGCATTTTACAGGCGTTTTTTCTTTTTTATTTTGTGATTTTGTTTGGGTCATAACTAGAAAACTATTAGACTTACAATCATCAAACTTTGACAATTTATGCATCTTGGGTAGACGGTGTGTCACGACCTATTTTAAGGTCACTGTGACCTTTAATTTAAGTGATTTTTTTAAAAAAACTAAGTCTTTAAAATTTTAAATTTCATAATCCTTAAAAATGTAAAAAATATATTTGTATCCTAGGCTTATTAAAAAATGCTAAATTAAGTAAAAACTTATTTTTTATCATATACTTTACAGCAAATTCTATAACAAATGTTAATGATTTGAGAGGAATTCAGTTTGTCCCATGGGCATAATTATCAAGCACTGGTCAAGGAGAATTTTTGATAGCAGAAATGTGCATGTCAAATTAGAGAGAAATTAATGAGTTCATTGTCGGGAGTTAACTTGCAAGAGCATCTCTAGATCTAATCTTAATTTACCTCTTGGGAGTTGGGTAAAAAGAAATGGCCTTATAGTTGCTTGTGTTAATTAAGAGTTCTTGTGGCTGTAGTTCAGATAAAGATCTTTCAATTGGTGTAATGTAATTAAAACAAATTGATGTTTTAGTGTATGATTAAAACTGAATTAGTATTGTACAGTATGATATAATTAAAAGTAATTATATATATGTGTTCATTGAAAAAAAAATTACATTTCAATTTTCATATATTTGCAACAAATTGCAGTCATGTCTCACTTGAATTTTATAGTCTAAAGAATACCGGTAATTAATTTTTGAATTTTTTTTATTAGACTGTAGCATTTCCATTATTTCATAATATTGCAATAAACAATTTAAAGCTGCAGATGGATATTTGTTAAGCTCTAACACAGCCAGTTTAGAATTATATGATGTATTATTTGTTTTAATTAATCCCTACACTGTAAGTCTCTTAGAGATGTATGTACAATATTTTAAACATGATAAGAAATGGAAATTAGATCATTGAAATCTGTGTCAATCTGTTAATTAAGGTTACTTAATTTTCTTGCACCCTAACCAATTTATGATTATCAACAATATCTGATGGGCTTATCATGCTGTGGCAGACACTTTATTAGACAATAGTGAATACCACTTACTAAATCCATAAAATATTTCTGAATTGGCACCTACTCTGAAAAACCCAGCGGGGGTATTTGTCCCCATTGGACAGTTCTAGTTTGTTCTTACTCATTATGTCCACATTTTACATGTGTATGTGGCCAAAGTTTGTTGGCTTTTTGAAAAACTTTCAGAAATTTTAACAGTCTAAAGTATTGTGCTGTATCTGGTCTTGTGTGATACCCTAAAAATACTGTAGATCACTATATTATCGCGACACCTTATTTTCGCGACTAAGCTATTTGGTTTTTATTAACGAGACCAAAATTTTCGCGAGCTGTTGTTTCTGTTGTATATATAAACATTAAGATTACAATTATACGCGAGAAAAAAATTTTCGCGAGCAGACAGACTCGTAATTTCGCGAAAATAAAGTTCTTGCGAATAAAAAGTGATTTACAGTATATTGAAAACAAGAAAAAATTTTGATGTATGCAATTCAAGAAACAAAATAATCAATGAATAACACCATTTTGATTTTACAGAGTGAAAGTCAAAAGTTCTTGGGTGAAAACAGTGCGTCAGTGTACATCAAGAAAGTAGAAGCAAGGATAAACGAGGAAGCTGAAAGAGCAACACATTACTTAGACAAGAGTACAGAGGAACCGATAGTCAAGGTTAGATAAAAGCTTCGTGTTATTGTTATCATTGTATCCTTAGCATTTTGATTAGCTAGTGTCTGAAATACAAAACTTCTTTACTGTCAGTTTAAGATATAAGCTTATTCTTTAAAAAGGGAAAATATCAAGTTTTGTATATCAAAAAATATTCTTTTTCGTGAAAGTGCTACAAAAAACTGTAACATTGAGAGAAATAGAGGTACAACGCTTTGTACATAAAGACTTTGTGGTGCATCAGCTTAAAATAAATTTTAGTTTCTGTCATAAAGAACCTTCCATAATGATTAGAAATAATTAATATTGCTTGATATTCTAAAAATCAAAATGTTCATTTGCACATGATATCTTGTTCAATTACAGGTTCTAGAAGAGGAGCTGATTAGTAAACACATGAAGACAATAGTGGAGGTAAAATTTGTTATTCTTTGTCAATAGCTAATAGAAATATTTCATATTTTTATTTGAAGATTGAGATTATAAAAATAAGAATTTATGTGTAAGAAAGGGGGTGTTTTCAAAAACTAAGAATTTTGTATATTTTATGTTTATTTTTTAGATGGAAAATTCTGGAGTGGTTCACATGCTCAAAAACAATAAAACAGATGGTATGTTTGTTTAATAAACATCTCTCAATGATTTATCTTATCATCTTTTAATAATAAGGCAAACTTAAGGGACTATATTTATAAACCTTACTTTTACAGGGTGATTTTCACCAAGTGTTTTTTATGCTCTTTCACATTTGCAAACAATTTTGCCCTGTTTTAAATTTGTCCTGTCATATTTCTGTTTTAAGAAGTTATACTGTGTTATTTGAATTCATTTGTGTAAATTCACCCACCAGTGAGTATTGGGAAAGGGCGTACGTAAAACGGGGCTAAGATTTCCCTGTATACAGTATTCTTCAATCCGTGGAAAACCATAATACTTAAGTAATGGTAGTTGTAGCTTGATATTTAATGTAAATCAGATTGTGTACATGTAATCTGTTTGCAGACCTGGCCTGTATGTACAAGTTATTTATCCGTGTACCGGAGGGTCTGAAGACAATGTGTGAGTGTATAAGTGTATACCTGAGGGAGCAGGGTAAAGCCATCGTATCAGAAGAAGGGGAGGACTCCAAGAATGCTATAACATTTGTACAGGTTTGTTCATTTCAGTGTTTGTTATATGAAGTCATATAATTACTAGCAAATTATGAAAGGTAAAATCACTGTATAATTTAACAAGGTTCAAATCAATGAAATTTATATCATCGGTTTTGAATATTAAATATTAACCACATGCTGTGTATAAGCAACATTTGGAAAAGATTTGCAAGGAATGTATATTTTGTTAGAAGGTATTGCATTATACTGTTGACCTTTTTCAGAGTTTACTGGACCTTAAGGATCGGTTTGACCACTTCCTGCATGAGTCCTTCAGTGATGACAAACAGTTTAAACAGATGATCTCCAAGGACTTTGAATACTTCATCAATATAAACCACAAATCCCCAGAGTATTTATCGCTATTTATAGATGAGAAATTAAAGAAGGGAGTAAAAGGGGTAAGGAATAACTTGTAAATTTAAAATAAATTTTACCTCTTTAAAATCAATTTCAAACCTTTTCTATCCTTGGGCTCATTAGGGCTGTATCAATATATTGATATATCGATACGTATCGATATTCAAGAAAAATATTGTATCGAAAAATAAGTTCCAATACGTATCGGACAGACAGTTTTTCTTCTAATTCTGTTAAAAAGATGGGAATTTCAATCACCAAAGATTATATTTCACTTTTATGAATTAAAACTGTTCAGTAATTATATAATTTGTAAGGAAATATATCAGTTTTTATAATTATTACAAAATACAAAGAGAATTTTATTTACACATGTTGATTTTACTGTCATTAAAAGTTTTAATTTGAAGTTTTAATTGTAATGACAATGAGACAAGAACTTTAAAATGGGTAATAAAACACTTAATTGTTATGAAAGAACTATATGCGGTATATTGCATATGTTTGCCCCCACAAAAGTCAAATTTTGAAAACTTCCTGAAATGTGCTGAATTCAATAAATTGTACGAGAAATATAAGTTAACAGAAAATATTATAGTTCCAGAGCAGTGTATTCACAATTTCTGTTTTTATGGTCACAAACTAGTCCGATTTTATATCCTTTTTCAGAAAGAGGACAAAATGGACAAAATTTCAACAATTTAAGCTTTAAAATTTATAGAGCGCATGTGTGTTCAGTAACAATATTGACATATTTCATTGATATTATCATTCTACACATTATATCAAAATATTTATCCTGAACACACATGTGCTCGGTGACTTTTATTTAAAATATGGACGAAATATGTACATTTTTCTGCAAAATTCATAAAAAACTGAAATTTACGTCATATTTGTGACGTCAACGTACATATGACATTACTTATGAAATTATTCAGTGCTTTGAAGTCAGCATATACTCCCCTGTTTAAGGACTTAATTAAATATTACTCCATCAAAGTTTGATTTTGGGGGGCAAATGTTGGTTAATACCGCATATAGTTCTTTATGCATTAAAGTGACTTAGAAGCCTTTTCTGATGGGCTTGTTCTAGAATCCAATATATCGCATATCGCTTTAAAAAATATTGTTTCGTATCATATCGAAATTTTTGGCTCAATACACAGCCCTAGGGCTCATGCATATATGCCATAAATGTAGATGCACTGAATCTCTATCAAATGTTGGTTTTTTTTTTCATTTAAGTAGAAAAAGTAGAAATATTTCTTACAACAGTGTTGCCCCAAACATTATGTACTAATAAAAAAAAATATACTTGTCATGTATTATTTATGAGACCATACACTGTTGTGAATACATTTACATTAAAATAACACTTCTGTTGTAGATGTCAGAACAAGAGATAGAGACTGTGCTAGATAAGAGCATGGTTTTGTTCCGTTTCCTACAAGAAAAGGACGTGTTTGAGAGGTACTACAAACAGCACCTGGCACGGCGGCTCCTGCTGAACAAGAGTGGATCTGACGACTCCGAAAAGAACATGATCTCCAAACTCAAGGTACAAACACTGACTTCTCACTCTGTGAAAGGATTGAATTGTAGCAAATAAACTATACCATTTCATATAATTTTACCTCCATATCTATTCAGTTATAAATGGCTATGGCATGGCTTAGCAATATTATTTCAGAAATACACATTAAGTTATGCTGGGGTTAGATGATAAAAAAAATGCAAAAATAAAATTAAGATCTTATGCAATATGCAACACTCATCTATATAGCTTAGAGGGAGACTTTTTCATGTGGGTGGCCTGCATGGTTCAGTGGTTAGAGTGATTGCTCTAGAGCCATGGGGTTGATCTTAAATGTCGCAGATTTTGATCCCATTTCCGAGAATGGAGACTTGTCCTTCGGATGAAACCATATGAACTGAGGTCCAGTGTCGGTGTAAGTGCTGGCTTTAAAAAAAATCCCTCTGAGTCACTGCTCAAGGTCTTAGAGCTGAGTACAGGTCTAAATTTGCAGCCTTTCACTAGCAAGTGGTGGCATCTCATTTTGAGTGAAAAATTCTCCAAGGGGTGTTAAACAAACAATAAAAGGTTGTAGGCTTTTAATGAGATGAGTATGATTGTCAGTTTTTTAAGCCATTTTGTATGGTGAACATGTATGTAATATTTTTTTAAAAATGTTGATTTCATTGGTACAAAATCTAGAATCATGAATTGATCTTATACTCACAAAATGATTCTGTTCATTAAAACTGGTAAATTTTGTTTTAGACTGAGTGTGGTTGTCAATTCACTTCTAAGCTGGAGGGAATGTTTAAGGATATGACAGTTTCCAACACCATCATGGAGGAATTCAAGGGCTCCCTAACTATGTCCAGTGTAAGTACACAAAAATCTTCCCTTGTAAATATATGTAGATGTATTTAAATATTGCTGTAGAATTGTATTGTATTCTGTTTTATGAAACTACTCTTTATCAACTGAAAAAAATACATATTCATGGTACTAATAGTAATTAGTATGCAATATTTTCTTGGAGGGAAATTTTCAGAGTATTCCTTTATCTTTGAAAGTAGGCTTATAAGTAAATTATTGCATGCTTGTCACATTTGTTTGGGATTAAGTTTGTATTTTTAGGTGAAGGCAGGTGATAAGGTGTACACGAGACATTGTGTGCTACATACACACTGTACTTTAATTTGATTTTATTTTATGTCACTGAAAGTTTTTACATGTATACCTTAATAGAAGAGGGCACAGTATCTCACGATTGCTCAAAAGAATACACTAGTTTCACAAAGTACATAAAGAATTTTCATGTGTGCTATACATTGAAATTTCCTTATTTGTCATAAGAAGTTGAGAGAATATTCTTTTGAGAGTTATACTACAATAGAGTTATAAACTTCTTTTATGAAAAGACAACGATATCGATAATTTGAAAAATGAAAATTAAAAAAATAAGATCAAATCCACTGCCCCATTTTTGTTGCAACTTGAGGTGAGTTTGAAAAGTTTGAATTTGGTTAACTTGTAAGAAGATAAACAAAGGATGAGGGAATTTGTTTTTGGGATGAATTGTATGAAATATTTCAAAGTGATGTTTCACTAATTTATACATGCATGTAGTAAATATGTGTTCCATTATTTTTTATAGGTAAATATGGCAGGTGTAGATTTAGTGGTTCGAGTGTTGACCACTGGCTTCTGGCCCACTCCTAATGCCAACCCACGATGCAATGTACCACACACAGCAAGGACAGCCTTTGAAAACTTTAGAAGGTACATCAGAAATACACAGAATTTTATTGGTTGGGTGCAGGGGTGTCACATGTCCAGACATATTAAGAAACATGGAAAACACCTCTCTCTTAAGGATTTTAAAATCAAATGCAATAAATCTTATCTGGCTACCACTGTTTCCGAAGAAATTTGTTATATATATTAGACAATAATTATATTCCAGATAAGACATTATTTTAAACAATTGAAAATACAGTTAGGTATATGAAGCTTTCTTCATATTACACAAGATTTCAGAATACACAATATCAGGATAAGACAAGTTTTACTGTTATGACATCTGAAGAATAAAGTTGGGAATATAATATTCTGTGCTTTAAATAATAATGAGGTTTTTCAGCTAGAACAGAAAATCAACTTTTTGTAATCTCTTATTTCAGGTTTTATCTGAATAAACACAGCGGTAGGATGCTCACACTACAGCCTCAGCTTGGTTCGGCTGACCTGAATGCCGCGTTTTACGGACAGAAGAAAGACGATGCGGGGGGAGCTGGTGCTGGCTCAAAAGAGCCCCGTAAACACATCATGCAGGTGTCCACTTATCAGATGTGTATACTGATGCTCTTCAATAAGAGTGAAAAGTGGACTTTTGAGGTAAGAACAATTACTGTAAAATGTAACTGCAGTGATGCATTATCAATTACCCATTTTCAGTGACTAAGGTACATGTAAAACGAAAAACTTTGACAAGTTTTGTTAATTGAAAAATTGAGTAAAGTCTGCATTAATTTTATGTTGTCTTGAGTGAAATTGAACTCTTGTACAGGGATCTAACTGTGATATACATGTATAATTGAAATGATTTCTTTTAAACAGGAAATTAAGAATGAAACAGACATTCAGGAGAGGGATTTAATTAGAGCCATCCAGTCCTTATCTGTAGGAAAGGTCTCACAAAGAGTGTTACACAAGGAACCCAAGACAAAGGAAGTGGGTAAGGCAATCAGTTGCACAGATACTGGTCTTAAGGAATTATTCTGAGTATATTTAGTGTATATGTATGGGACATATCTAATAAGACTCACCCTGCCAAAATCAATGATTATGAAACTCTTCATGAGTCTTTATGAATGCCATATTTATTTGATTGAGTTATATTCAGTGTAACAATTTCTCTAATTTTAACATTGTACCAAACTTTATACTTACATCAAAGATGAGAGGGTATTAAAAGGAATCCCATAAAGAGGTTCCATTTTTATTTGGGCATTTCTAGAATAATCTTTGTCTTGATGAGCCAGCAACTGAAAATCCACCCATACACAAGCTGCACTGTGGAATAAATGATAAACAGACATTTGATCAACACTGTTTAAAAAGTTATCCAATGAAGCTGCTTTTTGCATACTATCTACATTTGTTTGATGAACACTTATAAGAGTTATTTTTCTTTGCAGAACCAGCCCATGTTTTTACAGTTAATGATCACTTTACATCCAAGCTTTTCAGAGTCAAAATCCAAACAGGTTTGCAATTTTTGTGAAAATCGTAACTTTGTTTATAAGTTAATATTTAATGTGCAGTATGAAAAAGCCACCTGCTTTTTGATGTAGTCCTGTGGTTATGTGGTACATGTATATTTTATTTTCTGACTACATTTCATTTTTTTCTTTTTTTCAGTGGCTGCCAATAAAGGGGAGGCAGAGCCAGAGAGAAAGGAGACCAGGGTGAAGGTCGATGAAGACAGGAAACATGAATATCCTTTTTATGTGACATTCTGCTTATTAGTATTTTAGCTATAAAAAATGTTAATCACAGTATGTCAAGTACATATTTTGTCAAATATTCATTGGTTTGCTCAAAATGGGGAAAAAAGCCTTTTATTTATTAAAAAAATATTTGTGTTTTTAGAAGATGATAGAGAAGTACCTGTTGATATATTGGTTTGTTTAAAATGACTTAATAATAAAAGCATATTTTCTTGTGAAAATACTTACTGTAGTGCTTTTGGAAGATAATTCCTTAACTGTTGTACGATAGAAGCGGCCATTGTAAGGATTATGAAAGCAAGAAAGAAGCTACAGCACAATGTCTTAGTGGCAGAGGTACTTTTATTTGTTAAAGATTTAATCAGGTTTTGTTGATTTTGAATAGTAAACTGATATTGTTCTTCTAAATATGCCAATGAGAATGTATTAGAATTTTAAACAAGTGTACACACAAGTTTCTCAGTTGAGTGAACAAGTGATTTACCTCTGATTTCACATAATTTCCGTGTAGACTTTTAACAATTTACTACTTGGAGTACATGTACTAAGCTAGAGGTTTGTAAATGTTAAGCTTTTATACAAATGCATGGCTTTGAAAAATGAAAGTCCATTTCTACATGTACCTGAATGTATTACAGGTAACTGAACAGTTGAAAGCTCGCTTCCTTCCCAGTCCAGTCATTATAAAGAAAAGGATAGAGGGGTTAATAGAAAGGGAATACCTAGCCCGAACACCAGAAGACAGGTAAATCATTGCTTAAATTCTTGCTTAACACAGAATGATGTCATTAAAGCTCACCAACTTAACAAATGTTCATGAATACAGAGATCTTATTTTACTGTGTATCTAAATTCATTTTGACCAACAAATACACCATTAAAAAAATTTGACCTGAATAATTTGCTACAATAATTTAATTTCAATTTTAATCAGTCAAAGAGAACTAATGAATGAAGAATTAAAGATTTTATTGCAAAGACACTTGAATGTTTTCTTTGTGAATGGGGAGAAATAATTCATATATATGTTGTTTTTTTTTTTCAGGAAAGTATACACATATGTAGCCTAGAAGAAATTAAGGATTGGACATTTCATTTATCTACATACTACTTGGTCAGGCTTTTTATGAATTGGGAAAATGAAATCTGCTAATGTTTTATGAGCATGTATTTTTACACCACCAGAGGGGAACTAACAATGGGATCTTTACCAGAAACTTTCTCAATCATCGTAGCAACTAAAAAGCCAAGGTGTGAATGTTTTTTATTCATCTCTCTGGTGTTCTTGGACGCTGGAGATTAAACTCTGTTCCAGAAAGGGATGCTCTCATGTGGTGTGCTGAGTCTGACAGTGTGCCGCACTACAGTGTATTTATATGTCTGTAATTGTGTATATTTCCACAATGTTGTGAATGGCTTTGAACAGTATGCAGTCTTCTATTGCTAACTAAAGTAGTATTTCTATGTGTTGAAGAATGAGGCAGATATATGAATGAATGCCAGTGTTGTATTTTGCAAAGAAAGTTTTGAAGTCTGATTTTGTTTTCCATATGTTGACACATAATTGCCTATTTCAACTTAGAGAGATCATATATTATTTAAAAAACGTACTTGATAACTTAGTGTTATTAAGAAGTAATTCTGTTATTGATTGTGAAGAACTTTGTTTTACTATTATATAGTGAGGTATTGAAGAAAATGTGTTTTTCAAGTTTTATCTCATGTTTTTCTGTTTATTTTTTTTTCTTTTCTTTTCTTTTTTTAAGTAAATAAATACCTGGTTTATCATTATAAAGGAAACAAACACTTAAAATGTTCTTACATGTAATACATCATATTTTTGAATGTATAAAAATCATGGACACAAATACAGCTGCTTACATTTACCAGAACTTGCCCTTTGGTCATTGTTATAATCACAGAGAAAAACTGTATTAACAAAATATTTCCTTGTACCATTCAGTTGTTTTGGATATGATAAGAGTGAATATTAAATTCAACTGTTACTCTCTTTTTCTTGCATTTGTATTTTTCATTTGTGGAAGTTGCTTGTCCCAGAAGTCAGGAAATATTAATAATCACTGTTGTGGATTCATGGTGCAGATGCCAATCTTCCTGTTGAGAATACAACAGTGTGATGGGGTTGATTCCATTCTAGTGCATAAGAGACTTTATGTTCTGAATTCACCAGTTCAACCCAACATAATTTCTTTATAAAATAAAACTCAAAACACTTCATTTAGGATGAGCTTGCATGGGCTAGTGCAACAGACTTTAATGAAGTGTATACAGTATATAAAACAGTCTTTAGTTTGACCTCTTAAGTCCGTATCATTCTACAAAAGAAAAAGTCTCACTTAAAAGTAACATCATCAAAACAAGCAAAAGCATGTACGAAATATCGAACTGGAATATACTGGAAGGGGTGGGTGGGGTGGGGGATGTAGAAACGAACTTCAAATGACTTAAACACCCGAAAGTCTACCTTATGCGTGACTGAATAATGCGTAGCATGGATTCAACCTATTGGTATTCACCCGTAAACATGAACAACCAATTAATCTCCTTTACCGATGGACTTATTCTGCATACATAACAAACACACGTTTTACCATAACTTTTATAATTATAAATATATTTTTTAAAGGCAGAAGTTGGTCTTTGACGGAGGTTAATAAAATGCCTGTGCAATCTAACTTCTCGAAATGGTGTCAATTTCAAATGTTTCATTAAGATTCTCTTAATAACATCGACCTTGTTAGTAAATTCTGTGAATGTCTTTAATTTTCAATTTCAAATGTTTGATTATGATTACTCTTAATAAAACAGACCTTGTTGGTTAATTCTATGAATGTCATTATTAAGCTCCTGTTACATTCTTACAGTTTACTCTTGTTATGCTGTAATTGTGGGTGTGCTTTCTTCATCCATTATCATCTTTCATAAAAGTTTTTCCTTTCCGAAACGTAGACATTGAATTATCAACGTAACCCGTCTGATGGGAATTTCTCGAGCCGAATTAACGATTAAGGTCTGCATTGGTCTGGGAGAATTAAGTCTCAATTTTACAATCATTGAAAAGAGTGTGATTTGAATAAAACTTCAAAGTATGTTTAAAATTTTAAAAAATGCATATTAACGAAAAAATTAGAAGAGGACCCACTCTAAGAAGAACCGTTTATGACGAAGAATAACATCTTTCCGAGAAATATTTGAAGCCCAGCTTCCCAAGAGTCATCAAGATACGAGGGACATTCAATAAATAATGTCATCGGGGCTCGGAAAGAAGCAAAAGACTCTTTTTAATGATTTAGTCTTCATGATTTTACTTATTAATCTCTTTTGAATAAAATAGATGTCCGTTAAAGTTTTTATTTTATTTTTGATTGTATTTAGAACACATTTTTGGGTATGACCCTTAGTTAGCAGATCCAATGATTTCCTGGACTTGTTTTTTTCTTTCTGAAAGGTGGTTTTTCAAGTTTAGAAATAGAAACAAGTCAAAAGGTAAAAGGTCTAGCGAATATTGTTAATGTGAAAAAATATTGACTTTCTTTTTATCCCGAAAACCCCTTTACTCTTAAGGGGTGCATGGTTTAGACGCTGTCATGAAGAAATTTAATGTAGTGGATTCCTGATTCTAGGTCCTTCCTCTAGTAAACCTTTCGATTTTTTTGCAAAAAGATTGCTTTCTAGACTCCTCCAAAAATTAAACTGTCTCCCCGAATGCGAAATTGAACAACAGTACCACTAATATTTAAGAAAATTGCATATAAATCTGTCTTTGTGTTCTTGCATACCTTTGCTCTTGTCGGACCATTGCTGTTTTTATCAAGTACTTCTTATGGTAAATTTTGTTTTGAGGGTTTTAAGCAATAGATTCATGTTCCATTATCTGTTTGAATATGAAACAAACTTGGATAACTACAGTTACTGGTATTATAAAATAATGGTTAAGACATTCCTACACGCTGTCGTTTTCACTCATTTTTCAAAATATAGGTGATCTTTTAGTACCAAGATTTTTTACCTTCAAACGTTTCTTAAAAACATTGTAAACTACTCCCGATATAATGCATATCAAATTTGCTATTTGTCTTAAAGTCAGTCATACATCATCAGATATTTAATTGTTGAAACTGGGTAAATAGTACATAAGTTGTTATAATTTTTGTTGGCAAGGACGGTAATTTGTCTATAAAACAGGCATTGGTTGACGTAAATGTCACATATTTCAGTGAAAATTTCTTTGGGATTTTTAAAGTTTTACAGCAGCTTTAATGAAGCTTTTATTTTCACTCTAGTTTACTGATTCTTTACCATTCATTTATAATGCAGTGTCTCGAATAGCCATTGTTTACCAGCTTCTCACGATGAAACTATGTGATGAAAAGTGGTCACATAAACTGTTATCAACTCATTAAAGATTCAATAATGAGAGAAAGTCTAGCTTAATGTCATATGATTTCTATGTTGTATGTCACCGAGCTAATGACATTATTTATTGAACGTCCCTCGTATAAATGTTGCCACGTGTTATGACTTGTGCAGTGTAGTGGTTAGCAAGTCATGACTTGCTATTCAAGATGTATATCGCATGGGTTCAAATCCCAGGAAATCCAGTGTTTGAAGCTCTAGAGTGTCTGGCAGAGACAACCATAGAAGATCATTGGGTAAAGCTTCAAGACACTTGGAAAAGTGCATGCTGTAAAATCCTACGAAAGAAAACGAGGGAGCACAAAGAGTGGGAGACAGCAAGATCATGGGTAAAAGTGGAAGAAAGGAAAGAGCTGAAGCAAAAAAATAAACCAATGTAAGAATGCTCAACAAATGGAGAAACTGAAAACAGAATACAGAGAAACAAACAAGTCAAAAAGTGTGCTTGGAAGGACAAAAGACAGTTTGTCAATGACATGACTGAAGAGGCAGAGAGAGCATACAGAGAACAACATGAAAAAGCTCTATGAAATAACCAGAACACTATGGGGAAAAGAATGTAAACACCAACAGCCCAGTGAGGGACAAACAAGGCAAACTTATTGCTGGCGATGTAAGACAAAGAGCTAGATGGGTGGAGCACTTTAAAGAAGTTCTAAATCGACCACCACCACCCAGTCTTGCAAATGACAGAAGAACATCAAATCAATGCAGGGCCACCATATAGAATAGAAATCCCGAAGGCTATAAAGACACTGAAAAAATGGAAAGGCAGTTGGTTCAGATGGTATCCCTCCTGAGGCATTCAAAGCTTCTCCAACAAAGTCGGCAGAGATGTTACAACCACTTCTGCAAAAGATTTGGGAAAAGCAAAAAGTACCAGATGCGTGAAAAACAGGATACTTGGTTAAACTACCTAAGAAAAGGGACCTGTCGCAGTGTGGAAATTGGAGAGGCATTATGCTTTTGTCCATTGCCAGTAAGATCCTAACAAGAATAATTTTGGAAAGAATGAAAGGAGCATTGGACAAGAAGCTAAGATCAGAGAAAGCAGGGTTCCGCCAGGACAGAGCATGCACAGATCATATTGCCACATTACGCATTGTCACTGAACAGTCCAGTGAATGACAATCCCCTCTTTACTCAATCTTCATGAAATTTGAGAAGGCCTATTACAATGTGGATAGCTAAATTATCTGAACATTAATGAGGCATTATGGATTTCCACAAAGTTCACGAGTGTCATCAGGAATCTGTATGATGATGCCATATGTCATATCATCCATAATGGGAAGCTCACAGATCCTTTCAATGTGGATACAGGAGTAAGGCAGGGCTACATCCTCTCACCTACCATATTTTTGACTGGATAATGCAGGAAATAACAAAGGGCAGTAAAAATAGAAACCAGTGGACCTTCACAAAACAGCTTTAGGACCTGGAGTTTGCCGATGACATTGACTTGCTCTCGTACAAGCTATCAAGATTTGCATCAGAAGCCCAAAAGACTGGCCTTAAAATAAAAACTAAGAAAACAGAGATAATGAGAACTAGCAACAAACAAGAGACATCAATTCAGTTAAATGGGGAGAACATCAAAGAAACTGTCAGATTCACCTATCTTGGGAGTATTGTCAACAAGGACGGAGGAGCAGATGACAACGTCAAAAGCCGAATTAATAACTCGAAGGCAAGACATACTTTCAACACAATCAGACAAACCTGGACTTCTAAAGCACTCTGCATCAACAGCAAAATCAGGATTTTTTACACAAATATTAAGCTGTTCTCTTATATGGTTCCAAGACCTGGAAAGTAAATAAACAATAAACAGTAAACTACAGTCTTTTATCAACAAATGTCTCCGCCATATCCTTAACATCAGATGGCCTGGCACCATATCAAACAACAGCCTATGAGACAGAACCAACCAAAATCCTTTAGATATTGACATCAAGAAGAGAAAATGGGGCTGGATAGGCCACACCTTACGCAAACCCTCAAACAACATCACTAAACAAGCTCTGGATTGGAATCCACAAGGAAAGAAGAGGGTTGGGAGACCAAGGCAAACCTGGAGAAGGTCTGTAAAAATGGAAGCAAAAGAAGCTGGATTTACCTGGACCCAATTAAAAAAACATAGCCCAAAACAGAGTCCGATGGCGCGGTGTGGTTGTGGCCCTATACTCCCCAAGGAGTGAACAGGACTAAGTCAAGTAAGTCAAGTGTGGACCATCTCCTCAACCACCCATCCCACCCCCATTTAACCCGCGAAATAACCTTGGCAATGCACTCTTTTATGTATTAATTTGGTATAAGAATTTTGTCAATGTATTGTGTTTCCTTACGAACCAGAGATAGCAATGATATTTAGTTTGTGAGGTATCTGTCATACGCTGTCAATATTCGTCAGTCAACAGCTCGATCAGAACAGCTTATCAAAGGGAAATTTGAAGTTTCAAGTCATTTTTAATTCACGACAAGAAACAACTAAGCATGTAATTACATGTAAGGCATGTCAAAAGTACATTTAAACTTAAAACAAAAAGGAAAATATATACGTATGTAGACATG